AATTTTATAAAATTTCTTTCAACAGAAATCAAAGAAATATTCTTTAACACTAAAGACTCCGTGAGTTACTCATAACATTCAGTGCTGGCGTGCTCTTTATTTTAATTTTTATGTTGTTTTTTTTATTCAATATTCTTAACATTTTCATATATTTTGTGCTTTCTTTAAGCTTTCCCCTTGTACATACATACATATATATTTATACAAATATATATTTGTTTATTTATTTTAAAGCCCAACTTCCTAGAAATTCATATGTTTTACTTTGTATTCATTCACTCTTCTTACCTGTACTCCGCTTCGACAATATGGGTGTATTTGTACTTCCTTTGTTCATGTATGTACGTACATTATTCGCTTTACCTGCAAACTGCTTCATACACACATTTCACTTCTTTTACTTGATGATATGAGAATGTCGCAGCTGCTTTCTTCTGTCAAATCACATTAGACGCAAGCGCTGCCAATTAGGTAGAGTTTTAGGCAACATAAAGAAGCACATACATACAAAGCTACACAATGTTACTTATTTTGTATCATATAGATATATATATAAATTTTTGTGTGTATTTATATGGTGCGTCTGGTATACAGCTGCATATCCATTAAAGTAAATAAATATGTGGACATACATGCACATATGTATATATATGATATGATAGGTAAATACATTTCTGTAGCTGAATTTATTCACTCGTGTTTACATACAAATGTCCCTTTAGGAAACCGCTGCCAAAAAATTGATAATGACACACAAAAAACCTGTTGGCCTTCAGTTTGATTGTAGCTTCTCAAATATGTAACGGTGGTGATGAATTTCTTTAAAAATATAAATTATCTTATGAGGCGAGAATATTTTATTCTATTTTTCCACTTTCTATTTTGGAAATAAATAAAAGTCGTTAAGTAGCCTATAAATTATTATTTTTTCAATTTACATAATCAAACCAAATTTTAATGAATAAATAAATTGCATATAAAAAATTAGAATTGCTATAATATTAAAACACTAAGAGATCAGAACATAAAATTCATGATTTCTCTTATTTTACTTGCATAAAGTAATGTTTAATGATTACTAATTACTTATATATATAGATATTTTTTTCATAACTTCTACTAAACCATGAAATTATTCTACATTTTAGCAAACCCTTCAATAGTACCGAAATTTAAATGATAATAAAAAATAATAATCAATATTTTTCTTACTTATTTGCTAAATTTCCAAGAGGGATATTGACTCTAACACATACATATAGATATATACATTAAGTTATTCGTACTCGTGTAATCAGCAGCACTGGTAAAGGTCGTGTGCTGTACACTGGCACGGTAATGGAAGCACATCAACAGGTGTTGCTTTCGATTTTTGCTTTAAATTCAGTAATTTGCATTAAGGTTGAAAATGTTCTGGAAACTATTTATTTCAGAAATGCTCAACTAATGAAGTGATGTCATTTCCTTTTGTTAATATGAAAAATGAAATTACCAAAATGATTTCGTTTCGTTTCAACGTAAAAACAAAATAATTTTGATAACAGCTTTAACGATACTCTTTCCAAATGTTTCAAACGAATTGATTGAACTTTTTTGTTCAACGTCATATATATGGTGAGGGTGCAGCCTTGGTTTATTTCCAAAGGGAATACTTATACACATTTTAGGTCGAATCATTTATTTTTTTCGAATTATAACGAAATATTGGTTTAATTGGTTTAATTAAATTTAATAATTTTTCAAACAATAGTATCTGTTCTTCGTACTCTCTAGATGTATGCTGAAAGGGAAGTATAGTTTTGTATGGGAATTTGAAAAATGATCTCCACATATCCACATGCAATGAAATGTTGTGTTGTGTGGAGATCATTTTTCAAATTCCCTTACAAAACTATGCTTCCCTTATTGTGAAGCAACACCAAGACATATGTAAAGCGTTATAGTGTTATAACATAGCACTAGCTATTTAATTAAAAAATAATAATGCATCTGAACTTCAATAAGGCGGGCGATAAAGCTTTCGTCAAATATTTTTTTTTATTTTTATGTTTTTATGTGAACAAATGCCTTTAAATATTTTTTCATTTTCATTATAAAAATAGATGTATTACAAGTGAAAGACTACTTCAATCAAATGATCCCCTCGTAAGCTTTTGCAAACTTTCGACCAGGTTTTATACACATTGGGCAGAATCTCCGCCATAACGTGACGAACGTTGATTTTCCAGTACTCAATAGTTAAAGGTTAATCCGCTTAAATTTGGTATTTCACTTAGCCCTCCCAAAAAAAGTGCAACGGTTTCAAATCGAATGATTTCTGTGGCTAATTGACATCCCCAAGATGAGAGAATGTGAGGCCGGGAAATTTTTATTGCACGTGATACCATCTAGTTGAAACTACTTATTATCCAAGTCGTGTTCTAAAATTGCCGGCCCAAAAATGGGTTATCTACGAATATAACGCTGGGAATGTGACAGTGATAGTTACGCCGTTGTCGTCTTTGTAAAAGTAAGGCCCATTCACACCTCCGCAACAAAGAGCACACTAGGCGGTAAGTATTTTTAGGGGCAACTACATTCCTTTAAATATTTGAAAACTCTCGGAGCCCCAAATGCGATTATTATGCTTGTGGCTCGACGCTGCCGAAAGTTTTGTTCGAAAAATCACCGTTCACTGTTTGTAGGAAAGCACCAAATCGACATAATTACATCGTTATGAATAGTCAGCTGGCTTCAGTTCATATGTATGCCGAACGTTATATGGATGTAGGTGTAAGTCCCACCATTTTTGATATATGAAAGATGGGTTGACGACTTTCAGCATAAATTAGAAATATCAGCTCATCATGTTTTAGTACAATATAATTTTTTTTATGTCTTCTCCTTCCTTCAAGTTTAATAGAACCCAACAGACATTTTTTCTTTTAGCTGTTGGGCTCGAATCGAAAGCCCCAACTGACTGCAGGTCCTTTTTCAGCAGAACATTCAATCAAGGTGGAGGTTTTCCTCGTCCTTTACATCTACCAGCGGCGTCTCTTGACGGTGTCCCTCAATTCGCTGTCCTATGTCAATGCCGCCGTATATTATATAAAGCTCTGCGTTCCATTGGCTACGATACGCATATTTCATCCGAAAACTCTGAAAGCCGACTCGTTTTATGTGCTGAGTGGCTCTTAGTTCGTTCAAAGTGGACTTTGACAATAGTTATCCTGCATTTGATTTCCAGGCTGAATTTGCAGAATGAGAATACCGCGGCTGAGGAAATCACACGATAAAAAATTATATTCCCTAAAGTCTCGTTTGGTATGAAAAACTCGGAATAAAACATACTGATTCTAACAGACCTCTTGGTATTGCCTAACGTTAGTTTGCACAGTCTTATAAGTTCTGCAGGTATATCAAGATCAGGCCCAAAGAGACAGGGATATCGTGCTTTAACAGAAGCTTTGAAATCCTATTCTCACGGTGTTTTTCGATGACTTGTCGTATATTGATGACTTGTCTGGGAAATTGTATATTTACCCAGTCTGAAGCTGCACTTTGGCGTTTAATCTATAAAATTATTGTTAGATATTTATGTGTAATGGCAGCCATGCCGCTCTGAACTTTAACCCAATTTCTTCCAATACAATTGCACTGGTTGATATGTTGAAGTTCACTCAATTATTTCCATGACTTTGGTTCTATGTTGGTAACTACAACTATGAATACATATTTTATATATGATAACACATACAAACATACATAAATTCAATGCCACGGTTGAAGGTAACTACTCCACAGCATCCATTACTGTGGCACTTGACAAATTCTACTTCAAATTAACTACATGTTGTTGTTGTTGTTGTTGTGTAACTTACTATTTGTACTAGGCACACACCAATACGAGGAAAACCCAATACTCAGTACGAGCAGTTGGTTTATGCCGTTTTACTGGTCAACTGCTGTTTCACTGTTTGCACTTGACAGACCATCATTTTCATTAGTGTGATTACAGCACAGATATTGCCACATAATAATTATAGCCAGTTGTGGTTGTCACCAACAAGTAATGCAAGCATACATATACACATACATACACTTATATATATATATACATGCATACGCAAACATTGATATATCCGCAGTTGAACGTTATGCTGCTGCAAGTGGCTGCGCGTTTCACTTAATTATTTGCATTTTCAAATAAATTATGTTTTGTTTTTGTTCTTGCGAATGTAATTCTGCTTAATTTAGCACGATGACTAAATAACAATTTACAAGATTTTCTTTAAAGATATGGAAAATTATAATAACACTTCAGTATCATTTTAATTTTTATATAAATAAATGAATTATTTGTCTATTAAATAGGTAGACATGAGAAGATCTCAATTTTTCCGGCGCATCATTTGTATTTTCAACAAAATCTCTTAGAGTATTGAATACATTTTTTTAATATATAGTGGTTCCAATGAAGAAAATATTTCGCCTTATGTTTCAGAAAAAAATAAAAAGTTATTTGAAAACTGAATTTAATGAATTAACTGAAATAATGGGCTACCCTAACGAAAATCGCTGTTGTCTCAATAAACTGACCTCTCGAAAATTAGTTGCTGTTTCAGCAGACCATTTCTGTTAATTATTGACAGAATTCACCCTCAACTACTCTGTTAATTTGCATGACAATGTTATTAATTTTCCTTAGCAGATCAGCTCTGTTGGTCGTTAACAGAAATTGCTGTTGAACAGTTTTCTGTTAGTTCAACAAATTTGAGGTTTTAAACATTAAAAGTAAATGTTGAATGCTGTGTATAAGAAATTTTGTAAATTTTTCAAGAAAGAAAAGTACGCCCCGTTAGATGATACATTGTATTAACGCGTAAGTTCTTGCAGCATTAAAGCTTGAGTGGATCTAAACAGATCTAATTAACAATTATCAATAATATTTTGAACTCGATCTCTGATTTTCATTCATTAAACAGAAACTCAATTCGCCTCTTACCCTTTTCATTCAACAGGTTTCTTCATATGGCAAAGGTGTACTGATTACTGGTTGTGATACTCCCATCGCTTGGTATTTGGCTAAGAAACTTGACGATTTAGGTTTCACCGTTTACGCTGGCTTTAATGTGCCAATCGATGAATCGGATGAAGCGAAAATCTTAAAGGAGGAAACTTCCGGTCGTTTGAAATTGTTGCATTTGGATGTGAGCTCCGAGAAATCGGTGAGTACATTGACCTTTTTTTTTTGCAACTGGATGGGAAAAGCTCTACTTGCCATAGACAACAACCATGGCAAGCTTGAAAAACTGTCTTTAATTCTTAAGGTGCAAGCAGACTTGACGAGTAAAAAGCCTTGATAACAAAGAAGTATGAAAAGAAAGTAGCTACAGATTTTATATAATTTTGTTTTTATAAATTAGTATATAAAAAGGATATTCTGAAAACATTTTCAAATTAAAACAAGTAAAAAGAGTTTTCTGTTTTGTATTAAATATTAAAGTTATAAAATGTTATTTCTCAGATTCGAAAAATTCGTAGGAGGAGGCTAATAATAATACAAATGGCGCTTTGTAACCGCTGAAGCGATTTTTCGCTGAGCTCCTCCTCCCATTTGTGGTTGTGCATCTTGATGTTTTTCCAACAAACCTACAATTTATACTAAGCCGCCTCCTAACGGCTCTTGGTTTTTTATGAGGAGCGTTATTTCATGTCCGAAATATACTCAGAGGGGTTAACATTCCCTGCCTAGGGGCGACCACAATTAGAAAATTTAACTTAATTTTTTATTTAAATTAATTTTCTATAACTTTTTGTATGTTGGTCGCTCGGCCATTTGAATACGATCGACCATCGGTTTGAAGCTCATACGGATGAGTGAATTTCATAAAGCAAAAGTTGTATTAAAAATAGATAAAGTTATTATAAAGCAAATATTATCCTTTTAGTATTTTTATTAAGTAGTTTCCAGCTGAAATTAATTTCCTAAAATACTTTTTTTCAAGATATGTCTTCTGTTTCTATCTATATCTCTTTTAAAGAAAGAAAGACTACAGTTTAGCTTGGTTTGGATGGGAAAGAGTCAATCGGTAAAGTGTATGTGTCGTCATTGGTAGGTCAGATAGTTATCGAAATAACGAATTGTGAGCCGTCAGAACTCTCCATACCAAAGGGTGAAGGTCAAACTTACATTTTTTTTTTGGAAAATAACGAATGGGGTACAACTTTGAAAAATTGCAAATCGAACGAAAATATTATAACAATGTAAGGACGAAATTGTCAAAAGTGTGAATAATGGTAAAAAGCCGACAAAAGGCGGTTAAATTGCGAAATAAATAAAAAAATTAGGCTAACCAAGGTACTTCTTTGAGCCTAACTAATCTTTCAAAAAATCGTTATAAGTCTAGATGGAAAAATATTGGAGATATCACCGATAAGATGACTGTGCTGCTCCGTTGCTTCCATCTTATACCCTGAAATTTATATTTTATTTCATTAAGTTCACTTCTCGCGATACGTTAACATAATTACCAATGTTATATACATAGCCAGCTACAATACAATACAATATTGAAGATTTAAATATACGAGCATAAAGTCAGTTTGTTAATAAAACAAATAAAATTCATTTTGTTAAATCAAAAAATAATTTTGTGTCTGCTTTTCTTCTCTAAGAACTTACTGAAATTCAGTATAGACATTGAGTGACAAAATTTATGAATCATATAAAACGCTCATATTTGAAGAAAACCCAAATTATAAATTCCATTACACATAATATTTAAATCTTTAAAACTAATTTTTAAAAATAGTTGGTTTTTCTCTTTTTTCCTTATTTTTTTTTTCATTTCTATTAATACTTATATGAATAAGTCACTAGCTACCAAAATTTTTATCACTTCCATTTTTGTTAACATTTTTTACCAGTTACTTGAAGCTGCTGTCTACATTTCCGAACATTTACCCGATGGTGCTTATGGCTTGTGGGCTGTGGTGCATTGCGCTCACTGGGTTGCCTTGGGAGAGCTTGAGTGGATTCCATTTGGTGTATTGCGCAAGTCACTGGATTTGAATTTGTTGGGTGAGTAAGAATGGTAAACAAATAGAAAGCACAAGAAAAGAACTTTTAGCCAGTGACTACATGTGACATCTAGCTTAAACTAGGAACAACTTAGTATAGTTCAAATAAAAGTTTAACGGCAGAATCAAAAGCTTTAAAGATTTTAAAGCTTAGCCACAAGAATGTCCGATACCAAAACCAAAAGTGATTGTTTTTTGGAATTTTACGACAGGTGCCGCACGTTTGACCCAGATTATGTTGCCACTAATTCGCCGCTCAACCGGACGTGTTGTCTTCTTGACCTCAGGTATGTAACGCATATAATGTTATATTATTTTTATTATTTAAATAGCCAAGCAAAAAATCTCAACTTTTTTCTGCAATAAATACATTTAGTTTTAATGTTTACCTTCTCCTTTTTCTTCTTCACAAAACCTTTAACACAAACTACTAATTACAGGTCTTAGCAAAATCCCGGCACCTGTGCGCGGCATTCAGAGCGCCACCCAAGCGGCTATTGAAAGTTTTGCCGGCTGTCTGCGTCAGGAGATGCGTCAACGTGGTGTCGATGTGTCGGTGGTGGCTGCCGGTGAGTTGGCACCCGGCAACAGTTGGCTTAACGAAACGGAATTGCGTGAACAGGTGAGAGATAGCAAGCAACAGGTTTAAGAAAAAGGAAAAATAAGCGAAAATGTAGAAAAGTAAATTTAGCTAGTCGTAAGCATGCTGTGGGGTGAAACTGTTACTAAGGTCTTAAACGTGTACTGCTTTTTGCTGTTATTATATTGTAGCCAGAAGCAATTTACTTTTCTTTCCTCTTTTTTCTTCTTAAATACGTTTTTCCTTGGCGCGAAATATATGGCCGCCATAATTGCGGCTAAAATAAACTTGGCAACTGACTTAGCCGCCATTAGGCAGTAGACAGCATGAAACGCTAGTGTCCGTCTGCTAAAACCTTTTAGTACATTTACTTACCTTAATAATGGTGGTCTTACCTTGGTCTGAACAGCTGCATATATTTTTTGCGTTTAACGTGGCTCTTCTGCATATGTGACCCAGAAAAGTCCAATATCGTAAACATTTTCAGATTATTGCCTATCATGTATGCACACTTCTGGCCAGGTGAATGTGTAGGGGATAACAGGATTAACAACAGCATTCATAAGTGCTAGACAGTAATAAGAAATACTTATATTAGCTGCACATATTAGACATTCAGCTGGGTTTGCTAAAAACAAAAATAAATAAACATTACTTACGTATATTCACTAAACTATAATTGTTTTTAGGCTAAAGAAATGTGGGCTCAGTTGACATCTGAGCAGAAGAAGACCTATGGCGAGGACTATTATGAAGCTGCTATGACTTCGTTGGAAAAATACTCACGTGAGGTAAAAATATCAATAATGACAACGATATAAAGTAAAATAAAATAATCAAAAAGTATTACGTACTAAATAAAATATTAAAAAAATTAAAATAGAACAGAATCAAATATAAAAAACTAAAGAAATTAACATAAAATTATGTAAAATAAAAAAAGACAAACAAAAAAATAAAATATAATATAACAAAATCATATATAACAAAATGATCTAAAATAAATTAAAATATTAATAGATTAAATAACAAAGAAAAATAAGAAACAAATACTAAAATAACATCAAATAAATTAAAATAAAATATAATGACAAAAAAAAAAATAAAATTAAAATAACAAAAATACAATTAAACGAATTAAAAAAAAAATCAATAAAACTGTATATAAATCTATAAAAACTATATAATAAAATAAAATAAATTAAATTGAAAAAAAAAATCAAATAACAAAAACTACAATAAAATAAAACAAAATAACAGAAATAAAATTAAATGAAATTTAAAAAAACTGAATAAAATTATATATAAATCTGTATAAAATATATAATAAAATAGAATAAAATAAAATAAAATAAAACAAAATAATATAAAACAAAATAACAAAAAATAAAATAAATTAAAATGAAATAAAATAGAAAAAATAAAAACAAAAACAAATAGAAAAAATTTAATAAAGTAAATAACACAATATAAAATAAAATAAATTAAAATTAAATTGAGTTAACTTTGATATATGATAAAATAAATTAAAATAAACAAATTAAAATAAAAATAAAATAAAATAAAATAAAATAAAATAAAATAAAATAAAATAAAATAAAATAAAATAAAATAAAATAAAATAAAATAATATAAAATAGAATAAAATAAAATAAAATATAACAAAATAAAAATAATATGAAATAAGCTAAGACAAAATGAAATAAGATATAAATAATGTAATATAAAATAATAAGAATGAAAGGAAATGAAATCAAATTAAATTAAATAAAATAAAATGAAACGAGACAAAATGAATAAATAAACTAAAATAAAATAGCACAAATTAAAACTAATTAAATTAAAATTAAAACAAACAGAATTAAATTAAACTAAAATATTTTATTTATTTGATATATTTTAATTTACTTAAATTCATTTGATTTAATCGAACTTAATTTGGCTAAAGTTTTTTATTCCATTAATTTAAATTAATAATATTTAATTATATTTTCTTTTTTTTTGCTATACTTAACTTTAGTTAATTTATTTAAATTTAATATTCTATTTATATACTAGTTTAATTTCTTTTATTTTGTTATTAATTCTTTTAAATCCTAAACTTTTTTATTTATGGTAATTTAGCTTATATAATTTAACAGTTTTACAGGGACACTATAACCGCTGAACCGATTTTTAGCCGAGCTCCCGCTCCAAATTTCGGTTTGCGCCTTAACGTTTTTTCAGCAAATACTGAGCCGCCTCCGAACTGTTGATGGTTTTTAGAGGGAGCCTTTATTTCGTGCACTTTTCCGTTGTTTTCATTAACCAATTTTATTTATTTTTAAAACAAGTATTCGTTTTTTATTTTATTTAATCTTATTTTTTTAAATTTTTTTTTAATGTATTTTATTACTGTTTTTTAATTTTAATTTGTTATATTTAGTTTTTTTTATATTTTTTTCATTTAATTTTTTCTTAATCAATATCTTTTTAAATAAATTAAATTAATTTAATTTATGGATTAAAATAAATTAAATTTAATATTATATATTTAAAACATTTTAAGATAAATTCCTATAAAATAAGCATAAATTAAAAAAAATTAAAAAAATAAATAAATCAAGTTAATTTAAAATAAATAATTTAATATGTTAATTTCTTTTTTTTTTTTTGTTCTTCAGACCGCCGACATTCAACCATCTCTGCGCGTTTTGATCGATGCTGTCTCCCGCACTTTCCCCATGGCTCGCTATACACCTGTAACTGCTCGCGAAAAGATTCAAATTTTCTTGGCTGAACACTTGCCTACCGCACTATACGAGATTCTCTTCGCTGAACCCAAAAAGAGGGTGCGTCCACAAGGTGCATTCTAAGTAATCGATTGGAAAGAAAAAGCAAATGGCAAACACACACAAGGACATGGCTAATCACTGAATAAATTTGTATTGTTGTGATCATATAAATAATTAAAAATATGCATAAATACATTTGCTAAATCGTTAGCATATAAGTAACTGCACACGTACACAATTGAAATTATGAAACTTTTAGTCTTTTAACCGTAGTCAATAGTTAAAGAATTTTTGTACTAAACAAGCATTTATTTTTTATGGAATCGAGTGAATTTATTTCTGCAAACAAATCAATTTGAGTTTAACCACATTTTAATAGTGTGAAACGCATTTATGTATTTGTTTTAATGTTTATTTGTTCATATTATTTTGTAACTTTTTAAATAATTTTTTTTTTGTCTACTGAGAATTAGGTGAAATTTATTATCAATTCATAGTTCTAAGGTTGTTATCGATAAGTCGTTACTTGGCGTACATACGTACATATTTGTATCTTCTTTGATTTTATAGAGTAAATATTCAGAGGTTTAAATAAAGGTGAACACAACAACAATCTTGCGAAAATTTCTTTAACTTGGAACTTTAGAATGCCAGTCACATATCTGGTACTAGCCAAAGCTATATCACGATAGATTTGTAGGTGGCTTGGGCAAGCTGCATAATAACAGGTTAGGTTATAGCAGCATTAAGTGGAAGTGGATGAGACATCTCTGCATTTCAAAGTGAAAGACGCTGATTCGATGGAATCACGAAAATCGCCGCAGATACTCGGCAAAGCAAAGCCTTAAGGTGGGGACAAGTGGATAAGGAGACTACTATATAACGCAGATGTTATAGTATATATAATAATAATAATTTGAGCAAAAAAAAAAAAACTATTGAATAATTAATAGTTAAATGTATGCGGAGTGAATGTTTAATCTATTGGATGAGTGCGTAAGTTCGTGCCCGATTCCGCTGGATGCCGTTCGAATAATTTGAGAATGGCGCTCGTGAAAGAAATATATACATATTCAAGCATAAAATAACTTCATTTTGATTTGAGTTGCTTAGTGAAAAGACGCATGGAAGATGGACAACGAAAGAGATCATATGCGTCATATTATGTTATACGAATTCCGCAAAGGAAAAACAGTACGCGCTGCAACTAAAGATATTCGCGAAGTTTATTTGGACCGTGCTCCAGCACTCCGCACAGTAAAGAAATGGTTCGCGAAATTTCGTTCTGGAGATTTTAACCTCGAAGATCAACCTCGCAGTGGACGGCCTTCTGAGCTTGATGACGATGTTCTAAGGACTTTAGTTGCGAATAACTCACGTATTTCGACGGAAGAGGTTGCCAGTGAATTGAACGTCAACAAATCAACTGCGTTTCGTCGTTTAAAAAAGGTTGGGTACACTTTGAAGCTCGATACATGGGTGCCACATCAGTTGAGTGAAAAAAACAAAGTGGACCGTATGTCAACAGCAATTTCTTTGCTTCGACGGATCAAAAACGAACCTTTTTTGGATCGGCTCGTGACTGGTGATGAAAAATGGATCCTGTACAACAATGTTCAACGCAAAAGAACATGGAAACAGGCACACGAAGGGGCGGAACCGATGTCGAAAGGTGGATTGCATCCGATGAAGGTACTGCTGTGCATTTGGTGGGATATCCGAGGCGTGATCTATTTTGAGCTCTTGCCAGCTGGAGAAACGATCACTGCCAACAAGTATTGTCAGCAATTGGTCGAATTGAAGAAAGCAATTGATGAAAAACGTCCGATTTTGGCCAATCGCAAAGGAGTTCTTTTCCATCATGACAACGCCAGGCCACATGTTGCAAAACCGACCCTGGCCAAACTGAAGGAGATGAATTGGGAAATCATGCCGCATCCCCCATATTCACCCGACATTGCACCTTCTGATTATCATTTGTTTCGATCGCTGCAGAACAATTTGAATGGAAAAAAAAATTAAAAATGTGGAAGACGTCAAAAACCACCTGACACCTTTTTCAACGAGAAACCGCGCGATTTCTATGAAGCAGGCATCCGTAAATTGGTTTAACATTGGGAGTGGATTGACGAACATGATGGCGAATACATAATTGATTAATAAAGGCGCTTTCTTCAAAAAATTTCAATTTTATTTTGCACTTGAAATCGGGCACGAACTTATGCACTCATCCAATAATAATATGAAAAGTATTGTAAAAGCAATAGTTTCCAATACTTCTTAGACTTATGAAAAGGACGAATCGAGAAAGCAAGGGCTCAGCGGAGCTGGAACCGTGATGTACCTGAGAAATCTGAAAGAAGTATGAGTGCAAATTCAGCCCGAGTCCAAACAGTGCATATGGACCAATAGATAACAAATAACAGCAAAGGTACTAGGAATCACAGTACACCAGTAGATGATTGGGCTCTCCCAGTTGATGAACAGGAAGGATCAACTGCTCCTAAGTAGCTAATACTAAGTCCTGGCCAAGGCCACAGCTATATTGAGTCTATGCAAGCTGTCAGAAGTAGCAGTGATTCCAAAGTACTTCCCTAAGGAGCTTCTGTCGCCGGGGTAGCTAACCGATAACCCGAACACCATAATGGATGAACTGGTAAAGGGCTGAAAAAACCACTAGTATTCACAGATAGAACGTTTCAACCAGTTCTATTAATTGCTGACTGCAGGGACAGCAGTACAGTCCGAGCGGCTATTCGAGTATAGAACTAACCACAAAATTGTGCGAAGACAATCTTCCACTAATGAAGTATGGATAAGTGACAAACATAAGCGTTAGTTCTACTACAAACCCAGATCGAAGGTCTTAACACCTCCTATTGGAACCTGAACCTGAACCTCTGCGAAGTACATAGCTGAGTCTAGCAACAGTTAGACTAGGAGCATATTTAGTCTTCACTTTAGGTTGGGAAGGATACTTGCTAAACCATTCAGTCCGGGGCGTAGAAAGTAGGCGTCAAAAAATTTTTAAAAAAGGCGCAACGCAGACCATGGAAAAACACCATGGAACCTCGGCCAAATTTCTACTTCAATTTGTTATTATGCGTCTTGGTGTTTTTTTTTTTTTTGTAATGGCCTTTTAGGAGGAGCCTTTATTTCATGTCAGAAAAACGCTGGGAGGGCTTACCATTCCCTACCGTGGGGTGACCGGAATTAGAAAAATTACTTTAGGATGTTGGTCGTACTGGGATTTGAACACAGGCCTTCCGAGTGGCTGTAGCATTGGTAAACACTCGGATACCGCTGCCGCAGTCCAGAAATATAAACTATCTTGGTAGTTCAGAGTTTATAATAAGAGATCTGGTAGCAGTACAACTTTCCATAAAGAATGAAGGAAGAAATTCAGAAGAAAATAGTTGCTTCTTCTTATTTCCCTGGTGACAGTAGCAGTACATACCGACTCCAAAAGCGGAACGATTAATAAAATACTGTAAAAAGAGCAGTTTCTGTTAGTAATAGGCTACAACGCAAACGCGAAAGAAAGTATTAGACTTAACAATAGGAAAAACTTAGTATCAGAATAAGATCTCATAAGGGATGGTTCGCCGGAACCTCCTTAGCGTCTACAGTCGAAATTAGTAAAGTTAGTAGAAACCCCAAGTTTGTAATCAAAGTCGCTGATCTGCAGAGAATAAAAGATCCTATGAGTGTATTTGTGAAAAGAACTACAAAATTCTCATAATAAACACTTGGCCACTCGAAAGTGGCTTAGTACGAACTGCAGATAACTCTATTTGTGGGAAAAGCAGCAAGCCCCTGAAAGGAACGAATGGGAAAATGCTGCAGTTCTGGATAATAGCTCTGTAGCCATCTTCACCGGCTACTCTCAACTAAATGGCAAAGTCGGAGCTTACTCTGAAATCTTGCTAAAGAATTAAGTAAAATACTGCAACTACTGCTGCGTCTTTGAAGCGAAACTAGCCGCGATATGGAAATCCGCTTCATCGTTGCACGTTTATAATACGTACATAGGTAATAATAAAATGCAGAGAGATCTTAAGCAAACACTCTACTTAAAGCGACAGATCCGCGGTTTGGTTTCCTGCTCATAGAAATACCACAAGAAACTGCCTTGCTGACGACCTGACCAGAAAGCAACGTTTTAGCCATGGGCAATTTTGCACGTGATATGGGTATACCGCTTTCCTCGGCAAAGTAACTGCTAAGACTAGTCTTCAACAGAAGGTTAAACAGCAGTTTGCAGAGCGAAACCACGTGCAATGTAAGAAAAAAAACAGGTTGTTAATCAAGGCAAACAGAAGTCAATCTTTACTCTTTCTAAAGCGGATCTTAATAAACTTAGCAACTGGCGTAACATGCGGACACTGTCTTATGTTGACTCCTAGTAAAAGCATGTGCTGCTTCTCAAACAACTTTCAATGCAGCCGCAGAGACATAGATGAGAAGGAATCTGTGGAACACAGCTGAAATTTCTTCTTTGATTGCCCTGCAGAGCTTGCATCGGTAGGGGTCAATAATCTTCTGAATTTCATAAAACACACCAAGTGGTTTGAGTCTCCTTAACAGAACCAGCATAGGTACGGCACACAATGGGCCAGTCGGCCTAAATGCACTTAATCGCGGTTTCATGATCAAGCAACCTGTTGAACTAACTTATCAACTAACTTTGTAGAAGAACAGTTTTTCTTCAGGATTTAAGATCACTTCTTTATACGGTTTGGTGTGGTCTTCCCTGTATTGAGAGTTCCGTAAGGGGCTTACTAATATTCTGCAAACTTTGTTATCGGCGAACCACCAGCAGCCATTGTGAGCTCTCCGTTCATGTCTAGATTGGATGTGCACTACTACGTGCTACTTTGTGAGGACTTTTCTGCCCCTGAGAGAACAACTGAAATTCAGTAAGTTTTCTAACCAAACAAAACCTTTTAGAAGAAGATTCTGCGACATTTTTTTTTTATAGCATACACAGAAGCTGTACCTTTAAGTTCCTTTTGCAACAAAACTACAAACTCCACCGAATGCACAGCTCGAGCTTCAGGCTGTGGACTTTTATTTATGTAAGCTTGCAACAGTACATGCAAACTTGCACTTAGCTGCACACTGAGCGATTTGTTGAATATTTCATGTTGAAACCAATAGCTAACGGCAATCGCGCAGCAACTGCATTTGGCAAAGCGGAAAAAATGCGAAATACCAAAGGAGATAAGCTGCATGAGAGTTCGAGTGTGTGCAGGCACACACACACACACACACACACACACACACACACACACACACTTAGGGAGTTTATAAATCTATGCATGTACATATATACATACAATAAATATGTTATGAAAATGCATTAAAAAAATTCGCGGAAAATTTCAAAGGCAAAGTTTAGTTGTTGTGTTGTTAAGCGAGTTTTGCTTTCAAAATGGAAATGACAAAAACTTTTTAAGCTCAGGAAAATAACACCACTGACTTTTCACCACCACATATACTCAGCGCTGCGCTACCCAGCGGCGATCGCGTTCATATATTTGCCGCAACATAATCTGCTTGTTGCTGCCACATGCAATTCACCGTTGCTGTCAACAGTTTGTCAGGCGAGAGTTGAA